TCTCTGTCGGCACGCGGCCATAGGTTCACCATCAATGCAGAGTAGGCACCTGCCTGCCCGAAACAGCAGGCGCCTACTCTGCTTCCGTGTTGGGAGGCAGGGGGAGGGATCTGTGAAGCAGCTCCCTTGTCCTCCCTCGAGCAAGCTGTGTGGAGCGTTGCTGCGCGTTACCATGGAAACGCTCCACACAGCATCGCGCGGGAAGACAGGGGAGCTGCTCCCTACAGAACTTACCACCACCGGACCACCAGGGATGGCTGTGCCCCCCCCCCCCTCTTTCATTAAAGGTAAGAAGGGGGGGAATACTGATGTAGCTTACTTTTTAAAAAAAACACCTTTACCCCCCCACACAGTACCCCTACCCCCACAAAGCACCCCTACCCCCACACACAGTACCCCTAACCCCCACACAGCACCCCTAACCCGACACAGCACCCTTACCCGCACACAGTACCCCTACCCCCCCACACACAGTATCCCTACCCCCACACACACACAGAACACCCCAACAGCACCCCTCACCCCCACAGCACCCCACCCCACACAGCACCTCACCCCACACAAAATCTCCTCTCACCCCCACACAGCAACCTCACGACCACACAAAGCACCCCACCCCAATCCCCACCCCCCACACAGCACCCCCACCCTCACCCCACAGCAATCCCCTACCCCCACACACAGTACCCCACCCCCATCAATACATAACCCTATCCCCACACAGCACCCCTGCACCCCCCACACACACAGCAACTCCTAACCCCCACACACACAGCACCCCCACCCCACAATACTGCCAATCCAACCCAACACACAGCACCCCTACCCCCACACACAGTACCCCACCCCCACACACACAGCACCCATACCCCCCAATAATAGTACCCCCTACCCCACAACAGCAACCCTAACCCCACCACACACATCACCCCTACCCCCACTACTGAAAGCACCCTACCCCACACACACACACAGCACCCTCACCCCACCAATAATACCAGCAATCCCTACCCCACAGCACACAGCACCCTTACCCCCGCCCATCACGCCTACCCCCACACAGCATAGCACCCCTCACACACAGCACCCTTCACACACACACACACACACACACACAGCAACCCCAGACACACAGCACCCTCCCACACACACACACACAGCACCCCACACACAAAGATATACATTGCACCCCTCAATGCAGTATGTGTGTGTGTATTCAGCCGTCTGTGTGCGTATATTCAGTGGACTGTGTGTGTGTATTCAGCGGACTGTGTGTGTGTGTATTCAGCAGTCTGTATGTGTGTATTCAGCAGTCTGTGTGTGTGTATTCAGCAGTCTGTGTGTGTGTATTCAGCAGTCTGTCTGTATGTGTATTCAGCAGACTGTGTGTGTTTGTGTCTCTGTATTCAGCAGTCTTGTGTGTGTGTATTCAGCAGACTGTGTGTATGTATTCAGCAGTTCAGTTCTTTAAAATAAAAGTTGTTAATTAGTTCGGACAACTGTACAAGTTGTTTTTTCTAAACTTAAACCTCAGTATTTTAATTGGCACTTTGAGGGGAAAAAAAGTTGACATGTATTTCTGTTAGGGCACTCGGGCTCAAAAAGGTTCGCCATCACTGATCTATATACTATGTGAAGAAAATAGACTTTTAATTGACATTTTCTTCTTTGTTCGGTACTTTCCTGTTTTATTACCTGTATATTGAATGTATTGGTTCGGTAGTTTGAAACTACTGAACGCCGACCACCCTCCTGGCTCATTAACTACAAAGGAACCAGCTATTAAGTGTTCCCTGGGCGGCCGCTGTTCGTACAGCCGAACGCCACGTGGAATAGAAAACAGCAGCCATCTTGTTCGCACGAGGGTAGTCAGCGGGACTTGGTCGACAAGTGTCTGGAACTAAAATTGGACACTCGACCCCGCGAACCACCGCTGAAACTACCGAATGCCGGCTTCTTGTACTTCCCAAACAGCTAGGGGAGCGCCATTCGGTAATTCTGTGCGACTGGACAAGGGGAGCAATCGCTACTATGAGCCAGGGGGATCCATTCGGGACTTTTGTTCGGTTTTTACCTATTTGTGAATTGACCGACCGCACATGCTGAATTCGTGGAACTGTTTTGGGCAGGAGCCTTGTGTGTGGTTGGTAAAATATACTTTTTAAGAACCCCTGAACCGATCTGGGTGAAATTTCTGGGTGAAATTTGGATATGTTGGTCTCCCAGATCGGGGCTATCAGGGGATATGTAATTTGTGGTGATACCTGGTGGGGAAAGGGGTGTTCTGAGTTTTGGGGAAATTGAGTGCTCTCTGCCTGGAGATAATTGGTTTATTCCTTAACTTATCTCAATATCTCCCAGGCAGAGAGAAGGCGTGTATTACTGTAAATCTGTATGTTGATTGGCTGTTGTCTTTGTTTGCTGTGAGAGGTCCTCTTGCAGGAGGATTTCTCATAAAAGCCTGTGTGTTGTCAATAAAATTCATTCCTGTTACACCCTTCATGAAGTCTAGGCTCATGTTTGGGGGATATTCTATCTGCTGGGAAGAATCACCTTGGAACTGCATTTCATCTACCTTATTCCTCTACTCCCTGCTGCAGCTATAATCAATCATGCTCAGCTGTTGGGAAAGGGAACAGAAGACCGCAGCACCATAACCACTGAAGGTCTTAACACACTAAAACTGCTTTATTTAGCTAAAGTAATGTATAGTGTTCCTTTAGTATTATAATACACTTTTAATAATGATTTATGTATGTGTATATAAAAGTGTGTGAATATATATATATATGATCTAAGTACTTTTATTTACTTTTTTAACTTTTTAACAACTTTTATTCACTTTGAAAACTTTTGTACAGGTATTAGGGGGACTGTCTGAGAGCTCAGACAGGCCCCCTGCAGGCACTGCACAAGCCGGCTATTCCGGCCATTAGATCACGAGGACCCCGCAAGCACATGGCACGGGAGGGCCGGATCAGGTAGAGGGGGTCTGCCGTAGCTCCCAGGCAGATCCCAGGATCGCGATCACCAGAGGGGTATTGCAAGCGATTAGGTAACTGGGGATTTACTATCGGACGTACCATGTACATCTGAGGTCGTTAACGACCGTTTTTTGTCGGATGTACCTGATACGTCCGAGGTCGGGAAGGGGTTAAACAGCAGTTTTAGAACTATAGTGTTAGCAGTACATCTTTGTATTCCTGACACTATAGTGTTCCTTTAAACAGTATATTGTATACTGCAGTCACACATATTTGTGTACTCCTACAGTGCAGGGCCGGTGCTGCCTATAGGCCAAGTTGGAGGCTGCCTAAGGCACTTTATAAGTGGGGCGCCAAGCGGCTCGGCTTTACAGCTCGCTTGGGCACCCCCTCTATCAAGTGGGATTAAAAAGAGCCAGTCATATTATCGGGTGCTCGTGCCCGGCATCAACTTTAGCACTCAGCCAGGCTCCCTTCACAGACTTCAGCAGCGCAAGGGCACTTCATTTGCTTGTTCGGGTTTTGGCTTTTTGCCTCGCTTTTCCATTTTCGGGATTGTGTATCTCATGCGTCCTCTGCTGGGAACTAGGAGGGTGGGTTGGAGATTTTGGGTTCCCTGTTCTGCCCTCGCACTCCTGCACCCCCTGGGGTGGGGAGGTCTGGGGGGTGGTGGCCTTGGAGGGAAGGTCTGCTAGAGAGCCTGTGGTAATGGCTAGAATGGAGGAGGAGGGGGAGAGTGGGAGGGGGGGAGAATGGAGGGGGGCTAGGTTGTGCTGCTGTTGGCTGTTGTAAGGTTCTGTGTCTTTTATTTTCTTGCCAAGTTGTTTTGTGGTGGTTGTTCATCGTTAATATAGGGTTGGTCGTTGTCTCTTTCGCTAGTTTTTCGTTAGGGGGTTCGGAAGTTCCGTTTCTGTCTCTTCTTCTCAGGTTGGTGGACTGTGGTAGTATGCGTCTTCCGTGGAGCATCTGAGTCGTTCCTGTGTAGTTAGCATCCCAGAGGTCCCAAATCTTGTGGAATGAGTTGTAAGTGTTGTGTATTTGTGCTGTGAGTTCATCCAAGTCTCTTGTCTCCTTTATTTTGCGTATGACGGTCGTTATTGTCGGGGTGCGTTGATCTGCCCATAGCTCCGTGATCGCCCGTCTGGCTGCTAGATTGATCATAGCGGTGAGCTTGTTTTCGCTCCTCGTGAAGGAATACAGAGGTTTGGTCAGTAGCATGGTCCAGGGGTGTGCCGTGAAAGGTTTTGTAACAGATCACCTGGCACCCCGACTGGGTACCTCCGTTGATGGATGCTCCTAGTGCTTCCTGAGGGCTCCAAGCACTCCAGCCGACACCATAACCACCGTAGACTCCTCCAGAGAGCAAGGCAGGAACAAGCTCTTACAAGAGCTTAGTAGTGATTTAGCAAGGGAGTATGACAAGCATAGCAATCCCTTGTAGCAGATTCCCCCAATAAGAGACAGCATTCCAAATTGAGGGTGAAGTAGAACTGACTGTACTGGCCCATACAGCCTCTTTTATTCACATTCTACAAACATAGTACTGCCCACAGGGTTTTGAAGAACAACCAATAAACACGTACAATACACTCAGACATTCCCACACAAAATCCTCCCCTCTGCCTGTGATACAATTACCTTACACAATGGGTTAATATAATTATCACAGGAAAATACACAGTTTTACACAATATTCATAACTTTAAAAATATGCATCACATTCACATAATTTACATTTTCAGAATCAGCATACTCCAAATACCAACATACGTCAAAATCATACAAATTTGTCCAGTGGGTCAAAAGTTAGATCAACGTCCTTTGTGACCAAATGAAGCATGGCTTTTCTGCCCAAAACCAGTTCCACAGAGTCTTCTATCCTGGAGATAATTGGGAAGTAATCCAATTATCTCCAAGGACAGAGGCAAAACTCCATTAGCCACATGGTCGCAAAATACAATAAAATACATAAAAATATATAACTGTGCAGCTATTGCATAAAACAGGTATATTCAACATATCCCCAGATAGCTTAGATCTGAGTGCACATTATTACTGAATGGCGCTCAGATCACATACATACAGTTCAATTGCCACGGAGCCAAAGTCTTTCACATAGTCTTTCGTTATACGAATGGGCTCCATGGCATAGCTATCTGGGGTAACACTGCTCACATAGGGAAAGTACCGAATGACCCGGCTTTCGGGTCTTTGCAGGGGAAAATCAAGCATTTCAACATGGGGCCATAGTCACAGGGCAGGAGGCTGGCAATCAGTCTTCTCCAATGCCCAGTGGCGAGGCTGGTTCCGCCACAGGTTTGTCAATGATTGTTTCGACAAGTTGGTGTACTTCGTCCAGAAGGTTTTGAGTTTGGGGCAATGCCACCAACAGTGGAGGTAGGAGCCTGTTTCGCCGCACAGTTTCCAGTAGTGATTGTTGGTCCTTTTTCCCATTTTGTGGAGTCGGTACGGCATCAGATACCAACGGAATAGGGTTTTGTATGCTTGCTCCTTGTGGGTAACACATACTGTTAGTGAGTTTGTTGCTTCCCATATGTCTGCCCAGTCGCCTGGTTCATCTGGTAGTCCAAGGTCGCATTCCCATGCTGCTATGTATGTGAGATTGACTTGGGAGGCGTGTCGCTAGGGTGATGTAGATGTCGGAGATCTGTCCCTGGTGTAAGGGTGCATCAAAGCACTGTTTCTTGAATGTCGTTGGGGGTGACGTCCCTGCTTGTTTGATCATAGGTTGTAGGGCCAGAGAAGGCGGTCAAATGCCTTCTCTGCGTCCAGCGAGAGTACTACTGACGGGAGTTTCCTGTGTTGGGCGTACCAGATTGTGTCGAAGGCTCTTCTGGTGTTGTCAGCTGCTTAACGCCTGGGGACAAAGACGACCTGGTCCAGGTGGATTAGTTTAGGGAGGTAAGTGTTGAGGCGGTTTGCTAGTGTCTTGGTGAGTATTTTTAGGTTGGTATTCAGGTGGGAGATCGGTCTGTAGTGTCCTGGGTCTAGGTGTTCCTTATCTGGCTTTGGGAGGAGGCAGATGTCTGCCGCCAGCATATCCGGTGGCAGAGGGTGACCTTGTAGAAGGGTGTTAAAGGCCTTGCAGAGGTGGGGAATGAGCCGTGTCTGGAAGGTTTTATAGTAAAGGGCCATAAAGCCGTCCGGGCCTGGGATTTTCATGGGTTTCAGTGTCTTGAGTACCATTGCGATCTCTTCCGTTGTGATAGGTGCCACCAGTTGGTCATTGGCCTTGGTGGGAAGGGATGGTAGTTTGAGGGGTTCTAGGAAGGTGGATATACGTGTCATGCGTTCCGTTGCTTCATTTGTCGGTGTTTGGGTGTGGTTATATAAATTGGTGTAGTATTGTAGGAATTCTTGTGATATTTTTTCAGGTTTGTTTGTATTCTCCCCATTTTGAGTGCAGATTTTTGAGATTTTCTTTTTCTCCTGACTTTTTGGATGCAGTGTGCCAAGAGGGAGTTGGCTTTGTTGCCTTTTTCATAGAATCTTTGTTTGGTCCACATGAGGTTCCTTGCCACATCTGCTGTCGACAGTTTTTTTATTAGGTCTCGTGTGTTAGTTGGGTTAGCAGTGTTTCGAACGGGCTTTGTTTGTGAAGTGTTTTGAGCTTTGTGAGTTCTGTTAGTGCTTCTGTTAAGTCTCGGAGATGTTGTTTTTTTAACACGGTGGCTATCGCTATTAGGTTGCCTCTGATCGTTGCTTTGTGAGCTGCCCATACCATCGCCGGGGATATGTCTTCGGTGGTGTTAGTTTCGAAGTAGTCTCGGATGTTCACGGTTATGGTGTGGGTTGTTGCTTTATCCCGGAGGATCGTAGGATTGAGGAGCCAGGGGCGAGTCAGTTTAGGTATTCTTATGGTCATGGTGACCTCTGCGTGGTCTGACCAGTCTATGTTGACAATGTGTGTGTGGGAGGTCCAGGATTGGATCGTGTGTGAAATGAGGAATCCATCAATTCTGGAGTATGAGTGGTGCACGTGGGAATAAAATGTGAAATCTCTAGTAGATGGGTGCTGAACCCTCCAGGCATAGAGTAGGGGCATGTTGTCCAGGAATTTGGCAAACAGTTTGTCGTTCCTGGTTGCCGTTGGGTTCTGCGGTCGGTGGCAGGGGATTGGGTCTCATTGAAGTCACCCCCAATTATCAGGTTTTTGGCTGCTAAGCCTGTGAGGTGGTCTCGAAAGATATCCCAGAATGACGTATCAGGAGTAGTCGAGGCATATAGGGAGCATATGGTCAATTTAGTTGTGCCCACGTGTCCTGTTAGGAAGAGGAATCTGCCTGCGGAGATTGCGAATCCCTTTGTTTTGGGGTCTGGGGAGTTTGCTAGATAATATTGTTTAAAATGTCTGTTGACGAGGGAGAAGTGTTTTTAAAAGGTGTGTTTCTTGGAGTAGGATGACGTCTGCACCCGTGCGATTCGCCCATCTTAGTATGCCGTGGCGTTTGCCAGGGGTGTTGAGGCCTTTCGTATTGATGGAGGTGACTTGGAGTTTGAGGTCTGGTGGTGCCATGTCTCATTTATGGTTGGCTCCCCTTTGTAGTGTAGGGCGGGGAAGGGTGTAACAAAAGGGTGGGTATGGGTGGGGAAGGGGGGTGGGGAGGGTGTTTAAGAGGTTGTAGGGGGGTGGCTGAGCTAGAGTTAGGGGTGGGTGCGAGGTGCTGTCGGGAGGACTGTGGTTGGGTCCCGCCCCCGGGGGCGAACCGGCGCGCAGGGCGGTTCCTGCGGAAGTGGGTATTGACGAACTGGGCTTACCAAACTGCCCAGTTAGTTGTCGGGCGGGGGACTCACCTTCCCGGTGGAAGGTCGGTGTGGCGAGTCCGGGAGAAGTCGGACTAGGTTTGAGAGGTGTGTACAAGTCTAGGTGGCACTTGCCCCTGACCTGCCTTGTTGTGGTCTTGCTTGACTAAGCGTGTGGTAGGGGAGGGGGTGGGTCGAGGTACGGGGTGGGTTGTGAGCTACCCTTGGGGTGGGGTGCCCTTCCTCTGTGTGTTGTTTGTGCTGTTATGCTACAACTTTGCACGTCTCGCTCGGATGTCGCTTGGGGCTTCTTAAACATTATACATTATATGGTGCATGCGAAACCCCCAACATTATATGGTGCATGCAAAACCCCATACATTATACATTACATAGTGCATGTGTAATCGTTAATGTTATACATTACATAGTGCACGTGAAACCTTAAACATATATGTTACGTAATATCTGTGAACTCTTGAACTTTATCACCAATTTGACTCATTCACTTTGCCCTAAAAGATTTGCATGCTTTTATCTCTGCATGTCTCTGCCCATACCCATGGACTTTGTAGTGTCGTGGGTGCTGTGTGTTGTCTGTCTGCTCATTGTGTGTTTTCGCGGCTGGAGGCTGGTACCTAGAGGGGGTTGCGTGTGGTATCTCTCTATGGGGGTTGTCGTTTAGTGTTTCTCTGCATGTTTGTGGGGTCCTAAGGTAGGTGTGTGCGATAGTTGGAGGGTGGTCCGTGTGTGCTTGGGTGAGCCTCTTTTTCCCTTTAGGGTCTTGTGTCATAGAGGCTTGTGCCCTATTCCCATCTTTCTTGGCGGGGCCGGTTGTGGAGGCTAGTGTCCGTGTTCTAGGTATTTTATTGCTGTCAGTCAGTGAGGTTATCCCTGTTGCTTCCCTGCGGTTCCCGGCTTTGTCTGTGGGGTGTGGATCCGTGGACTATGGGGGGGAGGGCGTCTCCCTGTGTGTGCATTGGGGAGGTTGCTTGGCTAGGGTGTTTTGGGTTCCTGGTCGGTCGTGTGCTTTTGCGGGTTGGAGGCCTGTGTGGTGTGTGTCGTGCGCGTGTTTCTTTGTTCCCTTCAATCCCTTTGTTATGGTTAAAAGGTGGAGTGTCCGGGTTGGTTGTGGTGACTAGAGTCGCAGTCCTGGGCATCTTGGCCCTGTTTACCTAGCTGCCTGCTAATAAAGTGCCCGGTGATGTCCTGCCGGGCATGAGGGTATCTGCTGTGGGATGGGGGGGCGCGCTCCCGTGTGTCACGGTGATTGCTCTGCCATGGCCTCGCGTAGCCACTGCTGACCTCTGCTTCCCCATGGTTCGGCAGTGGCCACGATGGGGAGAGTCCCCTAGCCATGGATGACCAAGTGGTGGAGAGCATGGCAGTCAGTGCCCTTCAGTTAAGCAATGTGGTGTGGGGTGCCCTGGTCCAAGGTGTGTCTGAAACAACGTGTCTTTAATTAGGCCGTTAGGTCTTTGTTTCATAGACAATATGGTGTGACTGAACGTCTAACTGATTTGCTCAATAAGCAAGGGTTTTCCCTTCCTTGCCCCTAGAAGGGAAGTTTTAGCTGATCCGATAAAAATATTTGGAAGTTTATTATGCCCTTTGCCGGTTCTTTGCACCCGGAACGTAGGGCTGAACCTTGGGTGTCAGCGAGGAGCCCAGCGTGTCAAGCGGGGGCTTGGACGCCAGTGTCTCGGGCAGCTAGGTACTGTGTGTCTCAAAGGGAATTGGCCTACTGACGGTGGTCATGGCCCTGGGTGCCCTGAATGACTGTTGTGAGCGGGTGATGTCTCCTTGGTTATCTGTTGGGCTCCACCCCCCAGCCTGGCGCTTATCGCCCTGGCCCCCCATTATGTGGCCTTGGCCGCCGCGGTCACGGCCGTCATGGCGGTCTCCCCCCCTCATCCTATGTTTAAGTGTCTAACTCTTACATTTGCTATACATTTAGCTATCTGTGCAAATTCTTGAAGGGTAGCATAGATAGAAGAGGTATATTTAGGGTGAGGTGGTAGTGAGAGAGAAAAACAGTGTCAGATAGTTAAGAGGTTGCAATTACAGGGTTTCCCCCGTGTTATCCTTGCAGCCCTTGGGTCGGAGATAATGTGCGTCTGTCCATGGTGTAGTCCTGAGTTTTTGGAGTGTAATCGTTTTTAGCCTTTGGTTTAATTCGTTGGTGCGGTGACGTGGTGCTCAGCTTCTGCATAGCGTTGGTGAGTGCTTGATGTTGGTACATGGTGTTAGTGTACCAGATCCAGCCTTTGTTCCAGTGGGGCGGGTAGCGGTTGGTCCCGGTCTCTGGCCTGTTGTCTTCGGCTTGTAGTCGGCTGCAGTGGGAGTCCAGTGCTGTGCGGCAGGCCCAGTTCGTCTAGAAGTGCAGGTATTTCTGCCGGGTGCATAAGCGTATAGAATTTACTGTCTGTCACGATTCTCACCGCGACATCCCGACGGCCAGACGAGGTCGCCCCAGAAGTGCCCGGTGACGGACTTGAACCAAGGTACTTTGCAGTCCTGGGGCTGCTATTTTGCCTCTGAGCCACCATATCAGCTCAAGAGATAGCCAGAAGTCTATATTGCCTTGTACCCAGCACTGGGGGCTGGACGTTATTCTGTGGCTGCTCCAACGATCTCAGCACACCTGTGGCTGATCACCAATTATCCAGGTATAAGACACTTCCTCTCCCTGAGGGCAGTGTCAGTTCATTGACTCTGGTTCCCTTGTTTGGTTCCTGTTACTCTGTACCTGCGTTCCAGTGATTACTGTCTAATTCCGGCTTCTGACCTTGGCTTTCCTCCTGGACTACTCTGACCTCTGGCTTCCCTGATTTTGGCTTCCCTTGACCACGCTTCTGCTAATCCCTGCTGTACTGAGACTTGGCGCACTTTTCCTGGAAAGCCCCCGTGCACAGACTCACAGATCAGGTGGCGTCTTACCTGGTCACCCTGGTCTGTGTCTACTTTGCAAGGGTGAGCGTATAACTCTGCGAGCCGGACTCCCCATCAGGTAAGATCCTGACATAATGAACTGACCATATGGAGTCTGCAGAGTTATACAAATTACTCACCTCCCTGGCTGAACAAGTCTCCAACCTGTCCCAGAATGTGCAGAGATGCAGAGATGTTCCTTGGCATTTAAAGGAGCAGTACATCCAATCCCGGAACATACATACCCGGAACCCTATGTCATTATGCCTGACAGGTTTGACGGTTCCCGTTCTACTTTTCCGATGTTCAAGACGGATTGTGAGCTACTATTTGCCCTGAAATCAAGAACCTACGCCACCGACTTTATCAAAGTCCGCTCCGCTATTAACCTGTGTACTGGGCGGATTAAGGCGTGGGCACACCAGAAGCTGCAGGAGAGAAGTACTGTCTTGGACTCCTGGGAGTTGTTCATGTCCGCAATGGACTCTCAGTGCTTTGCATCAAGGAAAGCAACTCCCAAGCCTACTTCAGGTTCTCGCAGAACCCGGTTGCCTAGAGAAGAATTATTTTATGAATACAAGAATCCCATCTCGCTACAGTCTAAACCTACCTCCAAGGACCTGCCTTGTCATCATAATGTTACCCATGTGGAACTTGGCACTCTAGAGGACAAGGAGGAACCCATGGAGATTGGCTTCATCCGCACTAGAACAAGACTGCCATCTAGTGAAAGAGACCGAAGGAGGGCTTGTTGTCTCTGTTTCTATTGTGGAGAAGGAGGGCACTTTATCTCCCACTGCCCTATTCGCCCAACTAGGCCTAAGCCTCTTCAAGTAGGTACTACTCACCTTCATCCTGTTATCCCGGCAACACAGCCAGAAAAATGTCAAGGATACTGTCAGAAGTTTCCACGTTCCGTGACGCAGAAGAGTACCCAGACTACGATGGCTACTGATGCCAGTGTCTCTCAAGAACACATAATCGGTGGTCATGAGAATTCACTATCTCCAGAAGACTCTCCTGTTAAAACTGGTACCATCACCACTTCCTGCCTGCCCAAAGGAGAACTACCTGTGGATTGCACCTATGGTACCAAGGTCCACAGAACAGATCTGGAAACGTTTGAAAGGGCTTTGAAAGACGTGAGCTCTGCTCCTGGTGACTCACCTAAGAAAAAAAAGCTCAGAGAAACTGACTCCTGGGATCAAGGTACTTACCGCCTGCACCAAATCCATGAATAACCTTGACCTCTTCCCATTAGCACCCGAAACTGGTACCATAAAGTCCCAGTCTGTAGACTTTGATTACAAAGACTATCTTAGTGATACTGAGACCGAAGATGAGGAGTACTATTTCCGAGAAGAACCTGTTCACGCCCAGAGGGCGTTCTTGAAGGGAGGGTACTGTCACAATTCTCACCGCGACATCCCGACGGCCAGACGAGGTCGCCCCAGAAGTGCCTGGTGACGGACTTGAACCAAGGTACTTTGCAGTCCTGGGGCTGCTATTTTGCCTCTGAGCCACCATATCAGCTCAAGAGATAGCCAGAAGTCTATATTGCCTTGTACTCAGCACTGGGGGCTGGACGTTATTCTGTGGCTGCTCCAACGATCTCAGCACACCTGTGGCTGATCACCAATTATCCAGGTATAAGACACTTCCTCTCCCTGAGGGCAGTGTCAGTTCATTGACTCTGGTTCCCTTGTTTGGTTCCTGTTACTCTGTACCTGCGTTCCAGTGATTACTGTCTAATTCCGGCTTCTGACCTTGGCTTCCCTGATTTTGGCTTCCCTTGACCACGCTTCTGCTAATCCCTGCTGTACTGAGACTTGGCGCACTTTTCCTGGAAAGCCCCCGTGCACAGACTCACAGATCAGGTGGCGTCTTACCTGGTCACCCTGGTCTGTGTCTACTTTGCAAGGGTGAGCGTATAACTCTGCGAGCCGGACTCCCCATCAGGTAAGATCCTGACACTGTCCTTGCGGATAATTATCTTAAAGGGGTGGTCCCAGGCATTTTGCAGGCCGTGCTGTTGGAGGTGTTGTGTGAGCGGGCGTAGTTCTTTCCTCCGTTACAGGGTGGCCGGTGCCTAGTCTTGGTAGAGCTGTATTCATACTCCTACCTCCACGGGGGTGTCTCTGGTGGCGTGCATTATTATTTCTTTAATATGGTAGAAGTGTAGCTGAACTATAACGTCCCGTGTTGGCGCTGGGTGCTCTCAGTGCGTGGTGTGCGCGTTCCATCAGGAGGTCTGTCATTGTGGCGTCTGGCAGGAGGTATTGGAACACCCTGGTAAGTGTGTCTGGAAGCAGATCGGTGGACACTGTTTCTGGGAGTCCCCTTACCCGGATATTGTGCCAGCGTGTTCGCTTGTTCAGGTCCTCGTTTGAGTCTTCCAGTATGCGGAGTTGGTCCCTGAGGTCCTGCAGTTCCTCAGTGTGCGCGTGCACAGACTCTTGTACTCCCTCCATCTTGGTTTCTGTGGCCTGTGTTCTAGCTGTGAGGTCTGCCATGGCCTCCATAATCGGGCTTAGTTTCCTCTCTAGTTCCTCAGCAACTGACCATTTGAAGTCTGCCAGGAAGTCCTGCATGTCGGTGCGGGTGAGGGGAGCCTCCGTTCTGTCTGAAGTCGCCATTCTGCTTAATTCGGAGGCAGATTCCGACGGGGAGTTTACTAAAGATGACGCTTAGGCCTTCTCCGGCCTCTTTTTAAACATTGGCGCTGCCGCCGAGTTGCGGGTTTTCTTGCCTCAGCCCATGAAGAGGGTAGGTGCGGGTGGCAGGGTAGTGAGTATTGGGGGTGTTTGGGGGCTCAGTTGCTTGTTTTGGCTGTTGGTTTAGGCGAGGCCGCGGCAGAGCTTGGGGATTAAGCCACCATTTACTTGTGCGGTCATGCTCCGCCCCCCTTAAACTATTTAAACTGAAACTTCATAGTCCCACAGTAAAATAGAATAGTAAAAGATATTAGATAATATTAGATAATTATTAAAACCACCGGGCAAAAACAGTATAGATGAAGGAAACATAAAACAGAGATATATTGACATGTAAAAAGTATTTTGAGGCAATTAAATAAAAACAGATTCTATAAAAAACATATATGTCAAACATATATATCTAGAAACCAGATAATATTTATTTGCACATATATATATAAGCAGGGCCACCATCAGAAATTCTGGGGCCCCTGACAAAGCACAAGGTCTGGGCCCCCCTCCACTTCCCTACCCCCTCGGGCCCGCCCACGCCCTACCTAGTCCACTGACAATGATGCAGGACTGAATATGGTGTGTATAGTGGAAGTGAATTAGAATGTGTGTAATTGATGTAGTGTTTGTGTGTATTAGATACTGTTTGTGCAATGAATGCAGAGTGTGTGTCTTTGTAGCGGATGCAGTGTGTATAGTGAATGCAGAGTGTGTTTGAGTAGTGGATGTAGTGTGTGTACAGTGATGTAGTGTGTGTTTGTGCAGTGGATGTGGTGTTTGTGTGTACTAGATGAAATGTGTTTAGTGGATGCAGTGTCTGTAGTGGATGTAGTGTGTGTATTAGATGCAGTATCTGTGTATAGTGAATGCAGAGTGTTTCAATTTGTGGTGGATGTAGTGTGTGTACTGTGAATACAGGATGTTTGTGTAGTGGATGCTGTGTGTACAGTTAATGCAGAGTGTGTGTTATTGTAGTGAATGCAGAGAGTGTTTTAATGTGTAGTGAATTCAGTGTGTGTCAGTGTAGTGAATGCAGAGTGTGTGTTAGTGTAGTGAATGCAGAGTGTGTGTTAGTGTAGTGAATGCAGAGAGTGTGTTAGTGTGTAGTGAATGCAGAGTGTGTGTTAGTGTAGTGAATGCAGAGTGTGTGTTGTACTAGTGTATGCAGAGTGTGTGTTGTGTTAGTGTATGCAGTGTGTGTGTTGTATTGGTGTATGCAGTGTGTTGTATTAGTGTATGCAGTGTGTGTGTGTTGTGTTAGTGTATGCAGTGTGTGTATTGTATTGGTGTATGCATTGTGTGTGTTGTGTTAGTGTATGCAGTGTGTGTGTGTTGTATTGGTGTATGCAGTGTGTGTGTTGTATTAGTGTATTGTAGCAAACCACCTCTTTTACAGGTAGGATTGTCACAGATCTTGCAGTAACCACAGCCTTCTAGGGTATACAAAGTCCAGGACACATTCAGCTCAGTTTTCCTTTTTATTCAGTAAGAAACAGGTGCTTTAAATAATAACAAAAACAAACAAAATCCCTTGCTCTTACTTGAGCTCTTACTAGACAATAATTGCTATCTGCAATTGGGTGGCTTTCCCACTTACCAATTTTCCAAACAAAAGAAATGTCTTTGCAATAAACACAATCTCTCCTAGCTGTCTTTTCCTCCCTCACTCTGCAGCAGGCTGCCCTCTTCTTTTAAAGGCCTGTCTACTAATTGACTGGCTACAGGTGAGTGCCAATTAACTAACTCGTAAGACAGATCCAAACAGTGGTCTGTTACACAGCAACTAATGCTGTTGGAGCATTGGCCCACCCTGCTCTCCAAATACTCCGCCCCAGGGACCCATACCAGGTTTTTCAGAGCATCAGCTATGCATATTGCAAACTTTAACCTCTCTCCCTGGGGCATTTAACTGAAAATCCTCTGGTTGCTGTTTAGCAAATCAGGTCTGATGTATCTCCCATCAACCACTATTCCACCTTTACGCTCACAGTATGCAATGTGAGTGTGTTGTGTTAGTGTATGCAGTGTGTGTGTTGTATTGGTGTATGCAGTGTGTGTGTTGTGTTAGTGTATGCAGTGTGTGTGTTGTATTAGTGTATGCAGTGTGTGTATAAATGTGCAATCTGGGGGGGAGGGGCATTTTCACATAATTTTTTAAATTTTATATTAAATTAACTAAATGCTATTCCCCCCTCCCTGCTTCTTACCTGTGTCCAGGGAGGGGGGAGACTCCATTCCCTGGTGGTCCGGTGGCAAGGTGGGGCCCCCCCGGCTCCCTGTCACCGCAGAGGGGGCCCAGTACACTTCTTCTCTACTCTTCAACGCTCAGAAGGCCGCGGGTCTCGCGAGAGTTATTAGAAGAGAGGAGAAGAGAAGAGGCAGTGTGCTGGTCCCCCTCTGAGGTAACAGGGAGCCTGGGGCGATATTCGCTATCTATGTGTGCAGAGAGGGAAAGGACCGCGAGGCCCGTGACAACCATCATGGTTGTCACCCCCTGATGGGGACCCTGTATATAAAATATATCAAGGATAGGCCAAAGGTTCCAAACTAGAAAAACTTTACTTTCCTGAATGATGATGAAGATGTCTATTAAAAAAGAAGAAAACATAGACATCTATTACTGTAGCATGTATTCCATAGTATCACATATAATAATTAGAACCATTCACATGGACAGACTCTAAAGGAACAGGATGGGATGCCTCCTTCACGGGCCGTGAAAATCCAGAAAGGGCAGTGCAGGAAATACTTCAAACAGCGTTTTCTTCTTTTTTTGACACATGCTGTCTTATTCGATCTACAATGATCATCATTGAGGAGATTATAGTTTTCTCTATACCTTTGCTATCTGTTATTGAGTTGGGTATTTATATTTATATTTCACTTTACAACCATTTCTGCTCTAGTAATAGGTGTAATTATAAGCATACTGAGAAATGAAAACCATATGCATATATTCACAAGCTTGTATGTATTTTTTTGTTTGTTTGTTTTACAAAATTTGGTATTGTCATAAAAATAACATGGACACCTTTAAGCTGGTCCTCACTTTCCAGGTCCTCTATGTGGTGCTGACTTATGGGGAGAGACTATGACACCTTTGATAAAGCCAGTTTCCGGTGGCTGGGAAGTTATAAAAGTATCTTTTATAGAGCTTTAGTATTTAGACTAAAGTTGTGTTCCCTGTCTTGACACAGATGCCTGCAAATCCATAGCAGAGCACGCAAGTTCCTGTACACAAATCCCCTTATACAAGGATATTCCATAGCAATGTGACCCTTAACACTGCTCTAAATATAGACCTGTCTACAAAAAGGTTATAGATATAGAAAGCAACTAAAATAGAAATTCAAGACTAGTAAATTTATCTGAGATTATTAAATATTTATACCACTTTCCGAATATATACTTATAAAGACTAAAATAGAAGTCTTGAGTGCATGGGAAGATACCTTGGGAATGCAAATAGCGCCATACAAATCCTTTACGCTTTGTGCACAATGTCAAAACCTGTACCTGTGAGGCGGCAGATGTTCAGTTTTACGTCATCTTTTATCAACACCCTTAATGGTAACATTTTCAAAAATAGCTAAATGCATCATCTCTATATCAACCTAAATCCCAGGGCAGGGGCAGAAATCAATCTGTGGGTGTTGAGCTTGTTTTTGTTTTAAGTAATGAGTCAATAAATTAAGCGATATCTGATGAGGCTGATCTCAACCAGGCTGCTGTCCTGCAGAGGACTACCCACGTGTATGATTTAGAGATCAGGGTCCAAGGGTCCATTAACGAAATTATGTCATAAATATGACCTGATGTCAAGAAAGTTGTGATTCATTGTAGTGCTTTTGTGAGCCACATTTAACTTGTGAGCCTTTTGTCCTAAAATCCTAGAATGGAATAAAAAACTAAATTCGTACAGACCGTTGTAATTCTCCCTCGTTAAGGTACTTGGCCCAGTTTTGTTTGGGGGGCATCAGGATTTACACAAACAGTTAATGGTCAGACTTAGCACACAAAAAATTGAAACTGTCTGGTTAGTACTCTAAAACGCACTCTTTTAGAGTGCCTTTTTTCTTTTTCTAGAAACACTTGGTGAAGAGCACCCCAAAATCAAGACAGTCTTGTCATATTCAGGACAGTTGTCAGCTACTAATATTAATCAAATATATGTCACGTGGAATTTTTTATATCATATCACTGTTGGGCTGCAGTGATTGTATCTTATCTTAGACAGACAATCTAACAAAAAAAGGATCATTATTGCTGGAAATGTGGATATGACTAGGTTGAACAGAACTTGGACTGAAACTTGGTCCTTGTAGTGGGAAATGGTCAAAAATGCCTTGTGAAGGACAGAGTTTGTGTCTCCCACTGTTAGGTAAATGTCACCAATGTGCTGTCTCCTGACACTAGATGGCACCTTTGTGTAGCAAAGAAGATTTGGACACCCAGAAAGAAAACAGATTTAGACATATAACATGAACCCCTAAACGGTTTCAGACTAATGTACAAACACAAGGCATATCGAAAATAATATCTAAGTCTGATATCAAAGCCTATTAGTTTGTAGCAGCTAGGTATCAGCTGCTAGTGGTCTTGGACTTTTGAAACCAGGATTAGCAACTGCCCAGACATGTACTGACCGTCACATATTTGTTAGTCTCTCATATAGCATCAATGGGCATGGCAATATACCACAAATAAAAATATTATCAACGCCTTGTGAACAAAAGGACAAATTCTAATTTTCAGGTGTTACACTAGGTGTAATGTATTGAGTCATCTCTCGTGCATGTGGAATCACAAAGAATAAAATATTCCTTAAATAAGTAAAATAATTTCTATATATGTTGCATCAACAATGTTTGATTGAATGTTTGTTGAACAAGTAAAGTTGTTAATATCGGTGACTTGGAGATTATTTT